TGATGTGTCTCTCTCACTTTGATGTGTGTGTCTCTCTCTCTCTCTCTCTCTCTCTCTCTCTCTCTCTCTCTCTCCTTCCCTCCCCCCCACCCCCTTTCTTCCCATCCCTTCCACTCTCTCTAAAAATCAATGGAAACTATATTCGGGGGCGAAGATTTACAACAACCAAAGTATTGTTAAAATATTACGAACAATATATGCCGACAAATTGGACAATCCGGACTAAATGAGTACATTCCTAGAAACATACACTGATCCAAAACTGAATCAGGAAGAAGCAGAAAATACGAATAGACCGATTACAACTAATGAAATTGAATCAGTAATCAACAGACTCCTGTCAAATTTAAAGTCCTGGACTGGAATGGTTTACAGTTGAATTTTACCAAATATTCAAAGAATTAACACTGTCCTCCTCAGTCTATTCCAAAAAATTCAAGGGGAAGACTCCCAAGTTCATTTTATAAGGCGAGCATTATCTTAATTACAAAACCAGATAAAGACACTACACAGGAAATTATAGCCCAATATCCCTGATGAACATAGATGCAAAATCCTTAGCAAAATGTTAGCAAACCAGATCCAGCAATACATAACAACAACTAAAATCTGAAATATCCATTTCTCTTTTTTGTTTGAGTATGTGGGTATGTGAGTTTCCTCAGAGTTGATCAGGTAACTTCAGGTAATATTTGGGGGGGGGGGGAACTTGTATGGGGGAAAATGTAGACAACTACTCATTGAGTTTTGAAATGAACCACTCAGCTAATTTTTAGTGAGTAAAATATGATTTTTAGGTAAGCCAGTGGTAGAACTAAAAATAAAAATAGTACTAGCCAACATTTGTTTCAGTGAATTTAAAATGATTTTGTTCATAATGTTGATAAAACTGTTGAAAGTTTAAATAAAACGTATTTAAGGGCAAAACTGTTAGGAAACTGATCCATTATTTGACCCCCAAGCCATTATACTCAATTTGACAGAGGAGGCAAGAGTATACAGTGGTATAAAAACAGAGTCTTCAGTAAATTGGATAGCTACATGCAAAAAAATGAAACTAGACCACCATACACAATGAAGCTTACACCATACACAAGAATAAACTCCAGCTCTGGCCAGTTTGGCTCAGCAGTTGAGCATCAGCCTGCGGACCAGAGAGTCCCAGGTTTGGTTCCCGCTTGGGGCACGTACCACAAAAAAAGAATAAACTCCAGATGGATGACTTAAATGTGACTCGTGAAACCATAAAAGTCCTACAAGAAAATGTAGGCAGCAAAATCGGAGACATCTCACATGGCTGAATTTTCACTGACACATCGCCTAAGACGAGAAACAAAGGAAAAAAAATTAATAAATGGGACTACATCAAACTAAAAAGCTTCTGTACCGAGAAAGAAGCATCAAAATGAAAAGAGAACCTACTGTAGGGGGAAACATAATTGCCAATGATACATCAGATAAGGGGTCAATTTCCAAAATATATAGATTACTCATACAACTCTACAAAAGGAAGACAAAGAATTCAATTAACAGAGGACCTAAATAGACACTTCTCCAAACAGGACATACCAATGGCCAAGAGACATATGAAAAAATGCTCAATGTCACTAATCATCAGATAGATGCAAATTAAAACGACTATATCACCTCACACCTTTCAGAATGGCTGCCATCAACAAATCATCAAACAAGTGCTGGTGAGGATGTGGGGAAAAGGGGGCTCTAGTACACTGCTGGTGGGAATGCAGACTTGTGCAGCCACTATGGAAAACAGTATGGAGTTTCCTCAAAAAATTAAAAATTGAACTGCCATTTGAACCAGTGATCCCACTTCTAGGAATATGTCCTAAGAATCCTGAAACACCATTCAGAATATGTGTACCCCTGTGTTCATAGCACTTTTCACAATAGCTAAGATCTGGAAACAGCTCAAGTGCCCATCAGTAGATGAGTGGATAAAAAAGCTGTGGTATATTTGCACAATGGAGTACTACGCATCTGTAAGGAAGAAAGATCTCTTACCCTTTGAGACAACATGGAGGGACCTGGAAAGTATTATGCTAAGCAAAATAAGCCAGTCAGAGACACACAAATATCATATGATCTCACTTATTTGTGGAATATAGTGAACAAAATAAGCTGATGAGCAAAATATACCCAGAGACATGGAAGTAGGGATCAGACAAAAACCTCAGAGGAAGATGGTTTGGGGAGGGCAGGAAGAGATAAATCAAAGAACTTATATGCATATATGCATAACCAATGGTATAGGCAATAATATTGTGAAGGTGGTGGGGAATGGGAGTGGGGAGGAGGGTATCGACTGGGTGAAAAAGGAGAAACATCTGTAACAAAAATTAATAATAAAAAAGACAAACGGTACTGCATTTTGTTTCTCTAGATTAATGGAATTAAGCTATATTTGTGCTTTCTCAAGAATTTGCATTTAATTCACTAACCTAGGCCCTATTTTCCCCTTAAAATCTCTATCAGTACACTTCTATTCAGCATTTTTATGGAGGTTCTAGCCCAGGGCAATATGTGAGAAAAGGAAATAACATGGGCAAAGAATTTCAGTAGATACTTCTTCAAAGAAGATATACAACTTTTTAATAAGCACCTGAAAAAATGCTCAATATTACCAGTCATTGGGGTAGTACAAATCAAAACTATGGTAACATGCTACTTCACATCAACTAGGATGGTTGTAATAAAGACAGATAATAGCAAGTATTTGCAAAGATATGGAGAAATTAGAATCCTCCCTCATGTTGCCTATGGGAATGTAAATTGTAAAAATGTAATAAACTTTGCAAACCAGTTTGGTAGTTCCTAACAAAGTTAAACAAGAGTTACCATATTACCCAGCAATTATACTCTTAGATTAATACCAAGAGAATGAACATATGTTTATAAAATATTTGGCTGTACATGTTTATTCCTATTATTAGAAACATTATTCATAATAGTAAAAAAAGGTAAAACAACTGAAAATGTCATTGACTGATGAGTGAAAACGAAAATGAGACAGTCATGCAATAGAATATTATTCAACCATAACAAGGAATGAAGTACTACCACCTGTTACAACATAGATGAACCCAAAAGCATTATACCAAGTGAAGAAACCGGACACAAAAGGCCATAACATGTTACGTGATTTTAAATTAAACGTACAGAATAGTCAAATTGAGAGGCAGAAAGTGGATTTGTAGTTGCCTGGAGCTGTAGAGAGGAGGTGGGTGGGGTGGGAGGATGGGTAGGCATGGAGTTTCTTTTAGGGCTGTTGAAAGTGATGGTAGGTTGCACAATTCTGAATTAGAGTTAGTCAATGGTGTGTGAAGTATATCAATTTAAAAATGCTATTCAGCATCTAACCAAGAGACAGAAACCATAAAGTAATTTGAACAGTGAAAGTTTAATGTATAGAATTAGAATTATTAACTATAACATTGAAGAAACAAGGATTAGCTGGTAAGAGTAAAGAGAACTTTAAGGAATATAGGAAGAGCAGATATGATATCTACAAAACCCAGGACTGAAATAGAATATGCTAACCTAGAAAGAGGCTGCTGTCTTCCTTTTTCTGAGATCCAGGCCTTGGAGAGGGTGCATCCATCACTCAGTGGATGGTAAATTGCTGAGTTACTAAACTGATTGGAAATTATCCCTTTGGGGTACTGGAGGAGGCCATTCACAGGGAGGTGTTGCAAGGCACATGAGGGAATACTAGGGAAAGCTACTCATGGTGAAGATGCTATGTTGGTAGCACTATGCTGGGAAGCTAATCAACATTGAGTGCTCGGGTCACTATGGGCTGAGGAGCAGGGGAAGCTGCCCCCTGCAGGAGGAAGACACTAGAGAAGTAGGTAGTGCAGGAACCTGGCTGGAGAAAAATCTTTCTCCTCCAGTGTACCTTCACTTCTCTTTACTGACAAAGGTTAATGTCCTGCCAGCTGGCAAAAGAGCAATATGTGAAAGACCCATCTCCATTTTTACAGAGCAGCCAATAATGGGTGGATTTGAATTTGAGAGGTAATAAACTGATAACTGGATCAAGAACCTATGTTAAACCCTGTACAATTTCGGATACATTGGAATATCGGGTTTAAAAAAGTACCAGGTATTCATCTAAAAACAGCTAAACAAAACTTTAAAGTACATATTCTTGTAATACTTTTAGAAAATTATTCTAAACTACTACAAAAAGCAATTCATGGTGACTTAAAAAATATTGACCAATACAGAAATGTTTAAAATATAATAATTTCCCTCTTATCCTGCAGGTTCTTACTATTTCATTCATGTTTCCTGAAGATAAAACTATTATTAATAGTTGGTATACAGTTATTGTTTTTTCTATATACAGTTAGTTAACCCTTGAACAATAAGGGTGTAGGGGCATGGACACTCTTGCAGTGTAACAGAATAACTTAAGTCGGCCCTCCACATATTCAGTTTCCCATCTGCAAATGGAAATTTAAGTTGACCCTTGAAAAGGTCAGCTGTACCCATATATGTATATTGGGGTGGGCCAAATAGGTTTACAGCTGTATTATAAATACTATAATTAATAAATAACAATATAAGAATAAACCCTTGTGTACTTACAACTGTAAACCTACCTTTGCCCATCCCTGTGTATATGTATTTTCCCCTAGTGATAGAGTTTTGATAGATAGGCAGGCTAGGTAAATCACATAACCGTTCTTTCTGATTTTCTAAGCTTTTGAAATGAAGGGACTTTTATTTGAAGGCAAGTTTCAAGTCTCTAATGGATATAGTTTGATAGTAGTGGTAAGGGAGGAAGAGGTAGTTTGGTCGCCATTAATCAGTTAACAATTTTTATATAGCCTAGATGTTCATATTTTCCCATATGTTTTGAAATTTAAATACTTTATTGTGTTAAACATATATGTTTATGTATATGTTGCTGGATACGGATACTAAATTTCAGTGAAATTTGAATTATATAAATTTTTGTTTGTTTTTTTCTTTAGAAAAATCCTGCAAAAATGTCTTTGTATCCATCTCTTGAGGATCTGAAGGTAGACAAAGTGATTCAGGTATGTTTAAATCATTTAAGTTCTTTCCCCCCCATGTACTATTTCATGCACTTTATTTTTTATTTTCTTTTTAATCCTCACCCGAGGACATTTTTCCATTTTTTTTGTTCAGATAGAGTGGGAGGGAGAGAGAGGGAGAGAGAGAGAAAACATCGATGTGAAAGGGCCACATCGAGTGGCTGCCATTCGCACGGCTCAACCAGGGCCGGGGACAAACTGCAACCGATGTACATGCCCTTAGCGGGAACCGAACCTGGGTCTCTCCGGATCGCAGGCTGAGCCAAACTGGCCAGGGCTATCAGGCATTTTAGTTACAGGTAAAGTGAAGCAAGAAACTTGAATAGATATATTTGTTTGCTTTTATACATCATGTACCTTTTTCAATTTATTAATCGTAGACTACAGAGTTACAGAAATGCTAGCTGTTCCATTTTATTGTGAATTAATAGACATGAGATATTATTTCTTTAAAACTAGACCTAAACTACTCAATGATAGCTAGATTTTATGACTAAAATTTAAATACAGCATATATAAGTTGGTAAAATACACTTTCAACTTTTTGATGTCCTAGTTTTGTTTAAAATTAGGACAGTATTTTGGATCTTCAGCTTTGACCAATCTTTAAAATAATTCTTTGCCTTCTCTTTGAAGTTAAAAATTATCAAAATAGTGAAGTGTACATGCTGCTCATAGAAGAGTAGTGGTGTGAAAGCACAAGGAAATGTCGTGATTTGTTTCCTTTTATGTGTGAGCCCAGCCAGGTCACATGTTTGTGCTGTAAATACTATTGGGGATTACAGCATTTCTCATCTCATCAATTAAAACCTTTTGAGGTCTTCATGTAAGTGTTATCTCTGGAGACATGTTTCTACTTAAGAAAGTTTGGGGTTGGTATCAAGTCTTGCTATTTTGTAAATTTTTGTTATACTTTTTTAACTGGAGATGTAGTTTTTAATGAATCCATCTTGATTCCAGTTTACTTTTAATTTGATCTCTTATAAACTTAGAATTTTTTCAGCTGTTGTTTATTCTTTTATTTTGAGATTGGTAAATCAAACTCCTTGTAGTTCTTTATTTCTAAACTCTTTTTAATGTGATGAAATTATTTCTGAGTTTGGTACTTCAAAGCTTCCTACTCTAAAGATCATTTTATTTGAGGCCTTGACCTCAGTTTACTCTAAGTGAAATTTACTTCTTAATAATTATTTAATGAATATAAATAGTTTATTTCAAACTTGTGAGAAGTCTTAAGCAACTTCAAGAATAAAAGTGTTTTTAGGCAAACTGTTGGCCTTTTTAGGGTGAAAAACCCTGGCAATAATAGTAACAAATAGGTAGCTGGAATTATTAACTTTGTAGTAATTTAGTTAAATATGAGGGGAGATCAATGGACACATATTTTTCATCATAAAGGATATTAAAATATGGTTTGTAAAATCTCTGAAATCTATTGTTCAGCAGCCAGGGTTTTGATGTCTCACAGTTTTAAGTGGCCTGTTCAGTCATCTTAAATGCAGAGAACTTTCTATATACCGGGTGGGGCAAAGTGAGTTTACAGTTGTGAGTACTCGAAACACAGTTTATTTTTGTATTACTATTTATTTATTACTGTATTTTCCATATGAACGACTGTAAACCTACTTTTGCTACACCCTGTATATTCTTACTTCAGTGTTCCTTAGATCAGAACAATAGCAATGAGGCCCTGGCCGGTTTGGCTCAGCGGTTAGAGCGTCGGCCTGCGGTCCGGAGAGACCCGGGTTCGGTTCCCGCTAAGGGCACGTACTTCGGTTGCAGTTTGTCCCCGGCCCTGGTTGGTAGTGCTGGTGGCAGCCACTCGATGTGTCCCTTACACATCGATGTTTCTCTCTCTCTCTCCCTTCCTCTCCCTCCCTCCCACTCTATCTTTAAAAAAAAAAAAAAAAAAAGAACAGTAGCAATGAATGAAAGAATAGAAAATAATAATCTAAAAAGAAATAATTTTTTAAAATTAATAAATCTGACCTTTTAGAGCAGTTTTAGGTTCACAGCAAAATGAATGCAAACTACAAAGAGTTTTCCATTTTACCTCCCCCTCTATACACAGTCCACATTTCTCCCGCACCATCAGCATCCTCCTCAGAGTGGTGCACTTGTTACAGTTGATTACCAACACAGACACGTTGTTCCCACCTGAAGTCCATAGTTTACATCAGGGTATGCTCTTGGTGGTGTACACTCCATTGGTTTTGACAAATGTATAATGACATATAACTACTTTTTGTAATATAGAATACTTGCACTGTTCTAAAAATACTCTGTATCTGTCTATTCCTTCCTCCCTCCCCACTGATCCCTGACAACTCCTGATAATTTTACTGTCTCCATAGTTTTGTCTTTTCCACAATATCATATGGTTTGAATCACATGGTATTCAGCTTTTGCAGATTCATTTCTTTCACTTAGTAATACGAATTTAAGTCTCCTCCATGTCTTTTCATGGCTTGATAGCTCATTCTTTTTAGCACTGAATGGTATTTTTTCGTAGAGATTATCCAAGCAGTCCACTGGCCACTTGCTGCTTTCAGCTGGTAGCTGGTGAAAGAACTTTAAAAATTCAACATACTTTGACTTTGTGCATTGTTACTTAAAGTTATAAAGATTTTCATGCTGCATTTTAATTCAGTTTTGAATGTGATAAGTTATAAAAAATAAATATTGAAGAATGACTCAATAACAAGCGTATCAGACAACATTTACAATCCATGACAGAGTACTATTCAATGCTTTTGTAGGACATACTTATTTAAATTAAACTTCCATTTCTCCAAGGATCTTTGGGATTACCCTTGGCATTAATTTCAGGGCTAAGTTGAAATATAGGTATAAACTTCATTAATCAAAATATTTTATGATTATTTAAAAACTGGTATTGGAGATGGGTCATACAACTTATTACCAACCTTGTCTCAAATGACATGTCTATTTGAGAAAGTCAGATCTCTGTAAGGAGAAAGGATTTCCATCAGTAGAATACATAATAGAACAGGAGCTATGAAGGCAGCCCAGAGAGGAGGTCTTGGCTTACATGAGCATGAGTAACACTGATAATATATATGTTGTCAAAGTGATTTTGGCGAGTTTGTTTAACAGTTACAAGTTTTATTATCATTTTTATGCCAGTGACAAGGTATGCATTTTTTATACTTTAATAAAACTTAGCTGCTGCTTATACTTGCTAAAATGAAGGTAAAGTTTATTTCAGTAGGAAATGCCAAAATGATAAAATAAATATTAGAACCATAATAAGTATTTAAATATGTAGGTGTTTTTCTGATAGGGCTTTTATATGAATATGGTTGAGCTTTTTTTCTTATGCAAATTAAATATTTTTAGACTAAAAGAATAATGAAAATGTAAAATGGGTAGTAATGCATTTTGAAAATATTACTTTATTAATTTACAGCAGCACTAGGAAATACTGGTTATAAGATAATATGGACTGGCCTGGCTGGTGTGGCTCTGGTTGAGCATCAATCCATGCACCAAGAGGTCGCTGGTTCAATTTCTGGTCAGGTTGTGGGCCTGATCCCCAGTGAGGGGCATGCAGGAGGCAGCCAATTGATTTCTCTCTCATCAATGTCTTTATCTTTCTCCCTTTCTCTTTCTCTAAAATCAGTAAAGAAAAATTATTTAAAAAAAAAAGATGTGGACTGGTGCTTAGTCAAGTTTTATGTGATAGTGTTAAATATTCAGAATGTGAAAAATATTTCTGATTAGCAGATTTTTGAAAAATATATTGCTAAACTGTTTGAAGTTAAACTTTCTTGAGTACTACTTCAGTGTTTTAGCTTCTTTTTGGAAGTATAGTCAAACCTGGGTTCTTGAACTTTTCCCATTTTCAATAATTCAGTTCTCAATCTGACAACCCTTTCATATTGATACATCAGCTTGACAAAAAGCCCCTCACAGAGGAGAATGTGAGTCAGTTTACCACTAAACCTCCCTTGTTAACATCTCAGGAAATCATACTGTGAATATTTCTGTGGCTTTTTTTTTTTTTTTTTTTTTGCTTTTGTTGCTGGTGAAATGGAAAATTAGCACAATTTTAAAACATAAAGAGGCCTTCAAGAGTGCTAATGATGTGAAAGAAACAATGATCACAGGCAATTGAAGAGTCAGAAAAATTTGTTGATTTGGATAAAGAAAAAACAGCCAGTTTAAGTGAAAAAGTAAAGATGCCTCATGCTGACCTGAAGGACACCCCTGGACCTCTTGCTGAAAGTGATTGCTTAAGGCTAGTAGGGGGTAGTTCAATAAATTTAAGAAAAGTTTATAGATTAACGAATACATTAGACATGTACTGTATATAAGAAAGGTTAAAACGGGAATCATTTGGGAATCTGGAATGAATCGATTGAATTTAAATTATTATTTTTTAAAATGTATCTTTATTATTGAAAGTATTACAGATGTCCGTCCCCCTCTTTTCCTCCATTGACCCCCTCCTTCCCACTCCTGCCACCCACTGCCTTCACCACACTATTGTCTGTGTCCATTGGTTATGCATATATGTATATAAGTTTTTTGATTTAGCTCTTTCCACTCCCCCTTCCCCTTCTCTGAGGTTCATCAGTGTGTTCCCTGCTTCCATGTCTCTGGATCTGTTTTGTTTGTCAGTTTATTTTATTCATTAGATTCCACATATAAATGAGATCATGTGATACTTGTCTTTTCTCTGATTGGCTTATTTCACTTAGTTTAATACTCTTCAGGTCCCTCCATGCTGTCTCAAAGGTAAGAGATCCTTCTTTTTAACAGCTGTGTAGTATTCCATTGTGTACTAGACCACCAACTTACACCATTCACAATAAACTCAAAATGTATAAAAAACATTTTTTAATAAAACAAATCCTTTAATTTTTCAAGTGTTTAAAAAAATAGCTTTATACTTAAGCCAGCTGTGAAGATAAGCACAAAATTTACCAGTTTACATTTTTTAAACCACAACAACTTGAGCACCCACTCTGTGCATAGCACTATTCTAGGTGCAATAATAGGGATTCTTAACCTTAGAAATGTGATTTCACTTTCTGAAATTGTATTATCACCTTTTCCAGAGAGTAAAAATAAATAAAACCACTATTCTTTACTACCGATCTACCCCAAACCTACTTCTGGCTCACGGAAAAGCTAATTTCTGCCAAATTTAAGATGTTTCGATGAACTCAGCTCTTCTTAAAAAATAAAAAAAGTAGAACTTTTCATTAAAAAAATTAAAAAACAATTTTCCATGAAAGTGCAGTTTCTGCTTCTAAGAAGTATTTTTTAAATTTTTGATAAACGTTTTTAAATGTAAGTCATGAAACTGTAAAAATCCTAGAAGCAACCATAAGCAGCAAAATCTCAGACATCTCACATAGCAGAATTTTCGATGACATATCACCTAGGACAAGAGAAACAAAGACAAAATAAACAAATGGGACTATATCAAAATTAAGTTTCTGCACAGCAAAAGAAACCAACAAAATGAATAGGGATCCCACTGTATGGGAGAACGTATCTGCCAGTGATAACATCTGATAAGGCGTTAATTTCCAAAATGTATAAAGAACTGATGCAACTTAAGAGGAAGACAAACAATCCAATTAAAAACTGAACAAAGGACCTAATATACTCTTCTCCAAAGAGGACATACAGATGGCCAAGAGATATGTAAGAAAATGTTCAACATCACCAATCAGAGAGAGATAAATTAAAACAATAATGAGCTATCACCTCACACCTGCTAGCATGGCTACCATCAATCAATTAACAACAAGTGCTGGTAAGAGTGTGGAGAAAAGGGAAAAAATGATTCTGTTTTTGAACAAATCACTTCTCAAACAACCTTCTGGAACAAACTAAGTTTGAGAACCGAGGTCCCACTGTACTGAATTAAACTAACAAATTATATAAGAATCTTAAGTATATATATAACATTATTGTTAGAATTGTCTTTTCTTTTTCAGGCTCAAAGTGCCTTTTCTGCAAACCCTGCCAACGCAGCAATTTTGTCGGAAGCATCTGCTCCCATCTCTCAAGATGGAAGTAGGTTTATACTTTGGGTTCATTCTCCTTGAACAGAAATCTTTAAGCCTTCTTTTTATGAAATAAGGAATCCAAGATTTAAAAAATTTTATTCAGCATAAAATTGGTTAAAGTTCTAGTAGTAAGAAGAAAAATAATGTTTATTTCAATGCCTAAACCTTTAATCAGGAAAGTGAACTACAAATATGAAGATGTGTTTTATGGTTTAATGAAATTAATTACATTTTAACCCTCTTAAGTTCAGAATTTAAGGTGGATTCATTTGTGTGAACTGTGCCCATACTGCTGCTCTTAAACATCCTAAGCTGTTTTCTGTCTTGGGGGATGGAGGGGGTAGTGAAATTTTCAACTGCTTCCCTTTGGAGAACTTTCCCAAATCCTGGAATCTCTACTCAGTCTCCATATCCTTCTGAATTTTGGGGGATTAGAAGAGAGCCCCCTGCCCTGGCCAGTTTTGCTCAGTAGTTAGAGTGTCGGTCCATGGACAGAAGAGTCTCAGGTTTGTTCCTGGTCAGGGGCACGTACCTGGGTTGTGGTTTGGTCCCTGGCCTCAGTTGGGGTCATGTGGGAGGCAGCCAATCGATGTGTCTCTCTTGCATTGATATTTCTCTCTCTTTCCCCCTCTTACTCTATCTGAAGATAAATGGAAAAGTGTCCTTAGGTGAGAATAAAAAAACAACAAAAAAAAAGAGAGCTCCAAAATAAGACTTAAGGTACAAAAGGAGTGTTAAGTAGATTTTTTTTTTTTTTTTTTTATCCTCACCGGAGGACATTTTTCCATTTTTTGTTCAGGTAGAACGGGAGGGAGAGAGAGAGAAACATCGATGTGAAAGGAACACATCGAGTGGCTGCCACCCGCACAACCGACCAGGGCCGGGGACAAACTGCAACTGAGGTACGCGCCCTTAGCGGGAACCGAACCCGGGTCTCTCAGGACCGCAGGCCGACGCTCTAACCGCTGAGCCAAACCGGCCAGGGCAAGTAGATTTTTTTTTAATCCTCACCAAAGGACATTTTTCCATTTTTGTTAAGATAGAATGGGAGGGAGAAAGAGGACGAGAGAGAGAGAGAAACATTGACATGAAAGGGACACATCAAGTGGCTGCCTCCTGCACAACCCCAACTGGGGCTGGTTTCTTAGTGGGAACCAAACCCAGGTCTCTCTGGACTGTGGGCTGACGCTCTAACTGCTGAGCCAAACTGTCCAGGGTGGTTTTTTTGTTTAAAAAATTTTTTTTTCTTTATTCATTTTAGAGAGAAAAGGAGAAGGGGAGAGAGAGAGAAACATTGATGAGAGAGAACATCGATTGGCCACCTCCTGCATGCCCCCCACTGGGGATTTTGGCCCACAACCTGGGCATGTGCCCTGACTGGGAATCGAACTGGCATGGGTCGATGCTCAATCACTGAGCCACAGGGGCAGGGCTTAAATTGGTTTTTGTGGCCTCATAATATTTATAACTTTTTTTTTTTTTTTTTTTTTTAGAAAATGTATTTTATTAAGTCATAAAAAAAAATCATGTAAAGAACTTTTGGAAAATTTTATCTAACTCTGTTACTAAGTTAAATACTGTTAATATTTAAATATACTGTTTCCAAGATTTCATCGAATGTGGTTCACATTCTAAAAATGGCATGACACTAAATAAATTTATAAGCTTTGATTTTTAAAAAACAATTGTAGTTCAGAAGAATCATTTTATAGCCATTTTTACTAAATGAGTTATAAGGTAGCTACCTTGACAGCAGACATTTTTGCTCAGTTATTCTATATTGGAGAATCAGTGGTGGTTCACATAATTGCTAATCAAGTCAGTTTATTTTAAGAAAAAGGAAAGGTAAGATAATTTATTTGGAAAAATTATTTCTACTCCTATGAATTTTTAGAAGCCTGAGATTATTAATAAAAGTAGAAGCCCATTATAACGACAGTTTTCGTTTTGAATATTCTACCAATGTTTTTTTCTTTCTTTATTCATTTATTTATATTAGATTTCTATCCTAAATTGTATCCGGAGCTTTCTCAGTACATGGGCCTGAGTTTAAATGAAGAAGAAATACGTGCAAATATGGCCATGGTCCCTGGAGCACCAACTCAGGGGGTATGTATAGTGTAATTAATTTTGAATTATATAAAATTATACTTTACACATAAATATAAGCTCTCCTCTTTGTGGCTAACTCACATATTTATAACTTTAACATTAACTTCTCAGAAATTTTAGACTCCCTTCTGAATATTACTTCTAAATAGTCTATTTCCTTTGTGCTTTACCACTTTATTTATTAGGAGTTAAAAATTCAGTTGCTTTGACTAGTCCATTCTCCTGAGTCTTCTGCATTTAGTCAGTTATTAAGATCTAATGATTCTGTCTCCACCATGTTTCTTGTGTTCATTTTGTCCATTCCAGTCCTTCTGTAACCCTGCTCAGTTTCTGTACTTCTAACCTAAGTTATTCCAGGCATCTCTTAATTTCCTCTAGCGTGTCTTACAGCAGACGGTACTAAGCTGCTGCTTGAGTAATCATTACGAAGTACAGGTCTATCATATCTTTTTTTTACTCAAAATTTTTTAACGTTTTGAGATCTAATGTTCCTTGTTATTAGACTCCAAATTCTAAGTTTAAATACATTGTATCTCAGCCTTTTGTTAAGGTCATTTGTTAAGTGTGATAAGACCATCACACTTTAATGCAATTATTATTATGGTTAAATACTTCAGGAAGGATGGGGTCAATATATATCTTGTTGCCATAACCCCAGTGCTTAATAAAGTTCCTGATATTTATTTATTTACCAACTATTTATTGAAAACTTGCTTATATCAGTTAGGGTCCATTTGGGAAAACAAATCACAGTAGATATTTTAACAGATAATTTAAGAAATTAGACAAAGAGGTTGAAGAATTGAAGAAAGCAAAAATGGAATACAGTGGTAATTGCAGAAAGTCGCTACTCTTCCTAGGATTGGAGTAACAGGGAAGAGGTTGGAGTTGTCAGAACCTAGAAGCTTGGGGCCTTGGAGGGGGCTCACCACTGGCAGTGCTGGTACCTCTGAAGGTTTGCGTGGAGTTTGGTTCTGGGAGTGTCAGTACGTTACAGAGAATAGAGTTAACTGCTGCCGCCAGGGTCTCGGGCTAGCCCAGGCGGTGCTGGCAGGAACCAGAAGCATGCAAGAAGGAGCAAGGCACTTGTCCTCCTCCAGCCTTCCAGTCTCCCTCTGGTGCCTCATGTGGTGGGTGCTAACCAGAAGGAAAATGTAATTTGCCCAGTTCAACCTCAGCATCACTAAGTAGAGTGTAGAAGGGTGGGTTTGGAGCTGACGGACAACGTGGTTTATTACCTGGCACTGCCTACTCCTTTGACTACTCAGTTTATCCCCACACTTCTGCAGTATTCTGACTTCACACAACAGCAATAACAACTTTATAGTTTCCCCTTAAAAGATGCTGTTCTTCATAAAAATGAGGTTCAGCAAACATTTTCTATTAAGGAAGCCACAGTAAATATTTTAGGGTTTGCTGGTTTACACATGATCTCTGGTGCATATTCTTATTTTCTTTGTCTACACATTTTTAGAGCTATCAAAATCATTCTTAATTCAGAGCGTACAATAATTAAGCCAGTTACCTCTGATAAAATGAAGTTACTCTAACCCTGTCCCCAGAATAGGACACCACCAGTTACCGTGGCCACCTCAGAGCAGTGGTCCATGGGGTCAAGTGCTGTGTGGGGTAATTACCCCTCTGAGTATTCACATTCCCAACTGAATACTTTTAATCTAAACATAAAAGCATGAAGTTTTAACCACTGCCAACAATTCATGTATTAAAGTAAAAGGTAGGGACGAATGAACAGATTAATTGCTACATGTACAGAAAATTTATAGATACACAGCAGAAAAGAAGAGAATACTAGCTGCTGTGATCCTTATTTTGGTAACTAGTCAGGAGACCATAGTAGTCAGTATTAAGACTTCCTTTTCTGCTACACATTCTTTACTTGTCTGGCTCTTTGGCCTTTTCTTTTTTTAATACCTAGTGGGATGATCTGAACCTCCATCTTTGAAATATCTGAATCAGGGCTTGTAGTCCCTTACCTTTTTTTTTTTGCTTTAATTTATAGTTGGAGATTTCTAGAACTCTTCCCACTCTAGTGAAACTCACATTCTAAACAAATAACCAATACTTAGGGCACGTCGAGGAAGAGCAGATGAATCAGTGCCAGGGCTGTATTTCAATAGGGCAAGCGTGTATGTTCTCTGAAACGTCGACCCTCGAGCAGGGAGCTGATTGAAGGAGGGAGTGAGGCCTGTGGGCCTGGTGGAGAGCATGCCATGTGTGTGCATGGAGAAATTGAAGGACCTTCAGGCATAAAGGAACTTGGCAGACCTGAGAGACAAGGTCTGTCTGTTAGGCAGAGGAAACAAGGCAGAACTTTGTAGCAGATGGCACTGCAGGGTGGTTAGGGCCAGGTGGTTGTCTGTGACCTGGACCATTGCGAGGGATTGGGATCTGAGTTGTGGGAGTGGTGTAATCTGTTTTTTAAAAAAGATATGTTTTTATTGATTTTTTTGAGAGAGAGAGTAAGGGAGAGAGAGAAAGAGAAACATCAATGTTAGAGAGGAACATTCATTGGCTGCCTCCTGCACGCCCCCTACTGGGAATTGAGCCCGAAACCTGGGCATGTGCCCTGACCGGGAATTGAACTGGGACCTCTCCATCCATGGGATGATGCTCAGTCTACTGAGCCACACCAGCTGGGCTGTAATCTGATTTTTAAAAAATATTTCTGTGCTTGCTGTGTGGAAAGTAGATAGTAGAAGGACAAGAGTGGAAACAGAGAGATTATCTAGAAGGTTCTTGGAGTAACCTTCGCCAGACAGATGGTTGCATACAGGGAATGGGAGAAGGGGCAGAAGTAACGTGGTGTTGGTCATCATGGCCACGGTAAGTAAGGACACATGTAGGTAATTCAGTATACTTGCTGGAGAAAATAAATAATTTCTAAAAACCCGCTCCAAACCCCCCCCCCCCTTTTTCTGTATTCTAGCTGAACTAAATAATTCATTTGTATCTGAAGTTTTTCTTTATCTATCCCATTACCTGATTTCCCTATCTCATAGCTGTTCATTATTTCTCGTTTTGAACCTTTGTAATTCTTCATAAGTAATATATTCTCGTATTGTTTTGATTTTTGGTATCGTTGTGTGTGTGGTATGTGTGTATGGTTCCTGTTAGACTCAGCTTTAGAATATGCTGTCATCATTACCATGAATTCTGAACAAAAACTGCACTCTATGGTGTATAGCTGAGGTTCCTCTTTCCCTACAACAATCCCAATTCTTAGGTAGATCAGAGCTTTTTATGAAAGATTCCAAGCAAGCCGTGTTAAGCTCTTCTCCGCTGTCTTTTTGGTTGAGGAAGGGATCCACTTAAAATAATAAGCCAATTTTGGTTTTGAAAACAATGAAAAATGTGAAATATGATACCTGGCACAAGCCCCTGCTGTTCTAGGGCAGTCTACACTGTGCCTACAGTCGGCTGTCATAGGCGGTTATCGAAGGGACGGAAGGAAGACCGGGCTGCCCGGTGTGCTGGCGCCCATGGTGCGCACTTTCAGTCCTCGCAGTGCGGGCGGTGAGGAGGGTGCCCTGTTCTAGAAGCTCTGACAGGGTAAGTGGGTTGCTAAAGATCAGACTATATAAAAGAACCCTCTGGAAGATGTTACATAAGTTTCAAAAGTGTGATATGGCCTTTAATTTCAAAGATCATATATTTGAGTTGAAGGCAAGCCAAAGTACACACGAAACAAATGGCAGTGAATGTAGAAGGCAGCAGACAACGTGGGAATAAGTTACCTGAGGAAGTAGTAAATAAAAACCAGGGTCATTTTTGTATGAATCAAATCATTTGAGGAAATAATTTCTAGATTACTTTCTGGGAAACCATAACTGCGTTTATTCATTATTCATCATTTTAGTTTTTGTCTTTTTTTTTTTGCATGGAGAATGTTGTAAATACTGACATGTTGTGTATCTTCTTGTCAGCAGTTGGTAGCAAGACCTTCCAGTATGAACTACATGGTGGCTCCTGTAACTGGTAATGATGTTGGAATTCGTAGAGCAGAAATTAAGCAAGGGATTCGTGAAGTCATTCTGTGTAAGGATCAAGATGGAAAAATTGGGCTCAGGCTTAAATCAGTAGATAATGTAAGTATTTTTAATGTCTATATGAACTTGTCTAAATAACTTTTAGAATATTAAGTGATCAGTGTTAGAATCATTTAAACTGAAATGCTTTAGTAAACTACATGGGTGTGTCTATAATTGAGAAGACTCTTAGGAAGCCATTACTTTACCTTTAGAATTACTTCCTGTCTCCCCATAACCACACTGAAGAAATTAAACAGGGTTACTCTTGTAGGACGTATTCAGGGTTGTTAAGGATGTGCTAAGTCTTTACTCCAATTTATGGTTTTAGATATTGCCTTATTGGATTCCTTTTTAGTACTGAGATCTCAGCTCGTGTGTCTAATCTTTTCAATAGGGAAATAGAAAATAATGAGCATGGCACAATGTGGTAAATGGTTGAGGCTGATCTTGGCAGGATGCCCCAACCCTGCTTCCTACCTAGGGGGCTGAGGGCATCGATGTGTGTGTGTGTGTATGTATGTATGTGTATATATATATATATATATATATATATATATATATATATATTCCCCCCCCCTTTATTGATTTTACAGAGAGAGGAAGTGAGAGGGAGAGAGATAGAAACATCGATAAGAGGAACATCAATTGGCCTCCTCTGGCATGCCCCACATTGGGGATCAGGCCCACAACCTGGGCATGTGTCCTGACTGGGAATCTAACCCGTGACCTCTTGGTGCATGGGTCAACACTCAACCATTGAGCCACACCGGCCAGACCATCGATGTCTTTATACACTTGTAGCTTACTCCAGACGCATCAGCATACTTCTTTGGGAAGCTCTGACTTTGCTCCTTTCCCTTCCTTTTCAGTGAATAGAGTGTTTGCTTTCCCTTGTGCAGGGGTTTCTTCTCTGCTTTCCTCTGTCCTAAGGAGACAAGATACTCTTCATAGGCCTCTACCCCCCAACTGCAGTTACCCTTCCAGTGGGTTTGTCCACTTGGACAAAGCCCAGTGGTTAGACCACATTACAGATGCTGCCTAGTGTTCCTATACCTCCTAGACTGAAGTCGAGGATACACGACAGAAGTCATGCTGACCCAGCTTAAGGTGGTAGAAAGGGTCTAGCCTTGCAGATGCTTTCAGGCTGTGTCAGGTTCACTCTTCTATACTTGTTTGTGTATATTTTGTTCAATGTCTGAGCTTGAGTTTATATAAGTAAAAATATCTTAAACATACTCGAGTTTCCTATATTTATTTCATAGTGGATTCTTTGTAAGAACTGGAGTGGTATTGTATGTGCCCACATTTTTAGGCTGTTAAATAAACCCTATTCTTAATTATGCATAGTTTAGCAAGTGGGTAAAGGAATCCTTCAGCTCAATAGGTAGAGTTAAATTTAATAAGTTTTTTAAACTGTAAAAGAACCACAATACTTCTAACAGTTGACTTGCTTTTCCCCTAAATAATGACCATGTGGTTAATACCTATTCAGTATTGTCAGACTCATAGAAGTGTACATCTATTATAATAATCCTACTTTGTTTTCCATAGTCTTTTTATTCCAAGATGAAGAGGGTGATTGAAGTTGGGCAGATAGGTCATGATTTGAGGTATAAGTTATTACTGAGATTTTACCTTTTTTGCCTTATTTCCTGGGATTCTTGCCTTGATAAAATTTTCAGTTTCTTTTTTGGGGGCAATGATACATAATACTTACGTAAATTTTTTTTTTTTAATTACTAAGGTGGATTCCTAGACCTAAACATTTGCTTCCTAATTTTTTCCATCATTGTAAAACTATATCATAACAGTGATAAATGACTAATGTTATTTTCTTACTCTCTAGGGTGTATTTGTTCAGCTTGTCCAGGCAAATTCTCCAGCTTCATTGGTTGGTCTGAGATTCGGGGACCAAGTACTGCAGATCAACGGGGACAACTGTGCAGGCTGGAGCTCTGATAAAGCACACAAGGTGCTCAAACAGGCTTTTGGAGAGAAGATTACTATGACTGTTCGTGACAGGTAAGCTGACTAAACCCTTCAAATGGAAATGCAAGACCATTTTTCCTTTTTCTTGGGCTTTTCAGATTCTGTGAATATAGTATTTTGTTGCAGAAAGTAATCAAATGTTATTGATGAGCCTTAGTCATAAAATTGTGGGGTGCAGACTTTTCTTATATAGTTTGGTTTTTTAAAAAGTAGCATTCTGATTTTGCATACATTTATATTTCAGAGCTTATAGAAATTCATCCTCTAAGAAGTTACTTCTCTATTTTAATCTATTTCTCTAGAAAATAGAAAATGTACATTGGAAAAATAACTTAGCAGCATGGTGTCCTTTATCTCACTTTGCAGTTTACTGCTGAAACACCCCATCTCTAGTGTGTAAGGGCCAGGGTCCCTGCAGAACGGTAACAGCCTATGAGTTCTAAAACACAAACCTGGTTTTGTGGGTTGTTATGAAGCTCTAGTTGTCACAGTGGGAGGATAGAATGTTTTATTTAGCAGTTAGTCCATTTATACCTTAAACATCTAGCACATGAAATATGGGCCTCCATTTATTTTTTGCCCCGGCCCGGCTGTCATAGGTGTTAAGGGTGGGCCTGTGTCATATCGTTAGGAGTTAGCTTTGGCATTTTTATTCACCTTAAACTTTTTGTGTTTCTAGTTTCTCACACATGGTAGGTGTTCAGTAATTATTTTGTAGATGAATGCCATTTTTACTTTATATCTAATGAAAAGAGTAATGTGAACCAACAAGAAGACATGACTTTTCTGTATTTTATAAAACACAGGTTTATCAGAAAACCCATATACTGACATGACAGGATTATAGACAGGTGAGCAAGTGTAATGGGCATGGTAGCTTTTGAGAGCAGACAGCTGACTGCCTTGTTGTAATCGCTACATGCCTTCCTTTCTAAAAGGCGCTTTCTGGAAGCCAGTTAAGTATGGATACATAAAAAAGTACATCTTGTAGTAATTTAGGCAAACCATAATGGATAAATAAAAAAAAAATGCAGTTGACCTTTGAACATGGGTTTGAATCACGAGGGTCCACTAATACATGGATTTAATTAATATTTGGACCTATGCAGTTTAAACTGGTGGTGTAGAGTCAACTTTTTTGAGCCACTGTTGGGAATCTGCAAATGAGGATGGCCTACTAGTTAAGTTTATGTAGATTTTTAGCTGCATGGGGTCAGTGCTCCTAACCCCCCACATTGTTGAAGGGTCAACTATAATTTTTTACGCTAAGATGTTCTGTGAATGTGCAAAATCATAGCCATACTTAGTTGCTATTATTAGAAACACTGCGTTTATTATAACAAAGCATCCAGTGTGGTAGAATAGAAATTCATGAAAATGTTTACCGTGTGATTTTTCATTTAACCCATTATGTTTACAGGCCCTTTGAACGCACAATTACTATGCACAAGGATAGTACTGGACATGTTGGTTTTATTTTTAAAAATGGAAAAATAACATCCATAGTGAAAGACAGTTCTGCAGCCAGAAACGGTCTTCTCACAGAACATAACATCTGTGAAATTAATGGGCAGAATGTCATTGGATTGAAGGTAAGGGATAGAACTTGTCTTGTTCTGCTGGTTTTATTTTAGCAAATGTCTTTTTTATTTGTCTGTTTAGGTGGTGCTGCTTTCTTACTGCCCTCCAAAATACGGAAACACAGTGGGAGATAGGTGACATGGGACCTGGGCTAGCTTTCCTCAGGCCAAGGTTTATCTTGGCTGTTTCTGGCATTACTGTTCCTGTAACAAGGGGGCTGAACTATATGATCTCTGGAGGCCCTTGGACTAGAATTCTGTGGAGACATAGGCACTGAAGGTTTTGATGGCATTTTGAATGAATGATTGTCTAACATTTTTCAATCCAGATTGTAGGAAACGAGTAATTGATAGTTTCTGTTCATACTAGTACTTTGTTTTATTTATTTTCCATCCATAAATTCCTACGTAGGGCTATTTTAAGGTCTAAAGGTTTTCATTATGACATGCTTATTTCATAAACTTTATTTAATTGAGGGGATGTGGTAATATTGTACATAGGGAAAATTATTTAATCTTAAGAAATAAAAAGATAGGTGGTATGTTTTTTTGTTGTTGTTAAAATAGTCAACTCAGTTTACTTAGCACTTTTGCTACCACCTATAAAATTAACAAGAATAACATAATTCTATGTTTATTGAATAAAACGTGGAATTAATTTAAATTTATGTGTTTTCAACAGGACTCTCAAATTGCAGACATACTGTCAACATCTGGGACTGTGGTCACTATTACAGTCATGCCTGCTTTTATCTTTGAACATATTATTAAACGGTAAGTAGACAACTCTTTAACTCAGTGCTTATGGTTAGGTGGCTTAATATAAGCACTGGGCTTTTAATTCCAAAACTTTTGGTTCTTTGGTATTTATCTAAAAATTTGGAGTAAATTGTTTAAATCAGAGAAATTCACAGCCGCCTCTGGTTTCTCTGCTCCGTGGAAATCTGCTCATGGTGATTCCTGGCAAATTCTTGCGTACTGGATGTTAGGAGTCACAGTGCTTATTTTCCAGCTTCTCAGGAGGCAGGTGGAGGTGTGGAGAGGTGTTTGGGGATGAGGACTGGAACTGGGAAGGGAGACTAGACAAGGGGCAGCAGGGGTTGTCTTCCCTGGAGCTTTTAAAATCTTGGTTCTAGCAGAGCTGTTTTTGCCAAGGCAACTTAGAATCCTTTTTTGCAGATTCTATTTTGCATGTGGAAATAAGATTAAAAAGATTTAGAAACAACACACAGTTGTAATGAAATTTTTGTTAGTTTTAGTCTGGGTAGAAAGCAAGTAGCTTACTCTGGGTGTGAAAAAAGAAGTTACTGTCAGGACTAATTGTTCTAGAGTTCTCTCTTCTTAAGTGAGTGAGAGGTGTCCCTCTCCCTGAATTTCCCTCCCAGATCATAACAGCATTCTCATTTTCTTTCTTTTTAAAATCGTCAGCCTTGATACACAAACTTACTTGCATTTTATCTAACTTTTCTAGCTAAGATACACATAGCCTTGCAAAACTAGATTACATGAGCCCTTAGATCAGAACTCATGAAAAAGACCTTCCCCACCATCCCACTTGATAACAGATACTAAGCAGGTACTAAGTTTGAATTGGGGTTTTCTTGGATCAACATAGAATTTTTGAGAAAAGAAACCCAAAACTTCAGTATTTAATAAAAGCGACTCTCTTGTAGGATGGCACCAAGCATTATGAAAAGCCTGATGGACCACACTGTTCCCGAGGTTTAAATGTCATGACACAGTGGAAACTTGGCGGAACTTCTCCAGTTCACTTCTTTGGCAACTTCACTTTCTATTATGCACAGGAAGCTTCCCAGGAACCAGGGAGCAGTGCTGCATGAGGTCCTTTCTATCCTACAGTATGGCGGGGAATCTTAACTGTTCGATCTGATACCTTGTTCAGACTGCAAAATAGTTGTAGCCTTATCCTGGTTTTACAGATGTGAAACTTTCAAAAGATTTGCTGACTTTCATAGAATAGTTTTTTCTGCTGGAAACCTGATGCTTTTATAAGCCATGATGATTAGAATGACTGATGCAAGCTTAGCTTTGTGGTAGAACCAGTCACTTCTGTCCTAGAAATCAAGTAGTGCTGTTCGTATTACTTTAGTTCTATGGCATATTTGCACTTTCACTGTTACCATGTACATTTAGAATGATTGCTTCTGATCGTTTTTTTAGTTCTGTGTGTGTAGTGTGTCTATAAAACACGAATTTAAATAACACTGTTTTATTCCATGTAAGCATTATACAGTGTGTGTGGGTTGCAAGAGATTGCATTAATTATCATTACATTTTAACTACCTTCACTTAATATGCTTGAACTGTCGCCTTAACTATGTTAAGCATCTAGAATAAAAGCCAAAATATAACGATTGCTGCCTTTCTAACACCCAAAATGCAGTTCTGTACTAAACTGAAATGTACTCTAGCCCTGAACAAGTTAATGCTACATACGGAGCTACAGCATAGCTGCTTAGTTGCATTTGAGATTTTCTAGTCATTGTGTAACGGAAACTTCTTCGCAAAGTTACTTGGTATCATTTTCTGAGAAATGAATTACTATATATTTAATGTAAAAATTCCTAAACCTAGTAGGATAAACTTTTGACTTACTTTTTTCATTTATAGATTAAGTGGGATAATAGTTAATTTTGACATTTTACTCTAAACATTACATAACCTAATTCCTTGGGGATGGTCTTACAATGTTGTCCTAGTAGTTCTGTTTCCTGACTCTTCCCTGTAAACAAAATGGCATTGACACTTTATTCCTGATTTTTCTTCTTTTTGGTTTATGCCTATTCTAATTAAATATGTATAAATAAAGTTAAAATTTAGTCCGACTATTATTGTCATTTGGAAACTGTTCATGGCTTTCACCAAACTAGTGCATGACCGAGAAAATAAGCATGTGAAATTCACCTGGGACCTGTGGGAGACTCATCTCCACAGCAGCCGGCGCCCAGGGGTCCTGAGAAGAGCCCTCTGCTAGGAGAGGGGGAGTATCAGGGAAGGTGCTTTCGGCTGTGAACCTGACGGACGGGCCTGCAGTCCTCGGGAACACCAGGACTCAGTGAGGCTGTAGATTCTCCCTAGCAGCACACTTCAAACTGACCCAAGATCCTCTCACCTGGTCGGATTCAGTTTTTCCCTGTGCCATACTGCCTACAAGATACGACAACATTTTTATATAACAATACTTTTGATGAGTATAGAAAGTTTTTAAATCACATCATTACTGTGGTTCAGGAAAGAAAACCAGTATCCGGCTTTACCTTGTTGGAAATTAGAAAAGAAAACCATGTTTCCCAGTTTATCTGCTTTGCTGTCTGGACTTGGGTCTGGAGTGTGAGAACAACATTCACATCACTGAGGATGGTTTTCTAGGAGGATCAATACTTGAAGTTCTCAAATGGTACTAATTTTTATAATACATTTAAATAAGAAAATGAAAACAGGTTTCATTACAGAAAAATATTTTTAATGTTGTAGAAAAGATGAGCATTTAATGGCTATAATGAAATAAACTGTCCCTGTACACAGTAAACTTTCTGTTATAAGAACTGCTACCATGCCCAGGTTCTTAGAATCTGGGAACAGTAGGTTATAGAAAGTAACCACTCCATGAAAACACACACACCCGGAAACCCAGTGGGCAGCAATTGTGTAGATCAGGAAGACAAAAATAGGTGACTCAGAAGTAGTAGAGAATACTGCACATTTTCTCGAAAAATTCTAAATTGTTGAGCGCTTTCTGAATGTTTCCCCAGCCCAGTTAGTATCTCTTAGCAAGTAAGACTTAGCTACCTTCTCTGCCACTCAAACCTGTCTTCTCTGACCAACATCATACTGGGACAGTCATCTGCCTTACAAATGTAATGTTTTCTCCCTAACACTGCTGTATCTTTATCTGCCTTAGAAGATGGCAACTAACAATTTTCAATGAAGTCACATGATTTAGAAAGTTTAAAACCACACATTTCTTATGTGGTAAAACTTCTAATTACTATCATTGCACATTCACCAATTCATTTAAAAGTTTGGTTTAAAAATACATTAAATAGAGTTCAATTTAACATTCAGGAGAGGAAAAGGCACTTAATACTGCAATTTCCAGAACATAATTTGTCTGTCTTCCCCTCCTGTGATGATACTGCTACACTGTTCATTCATCCATATACATGTCACAGCACCTAAGAGAAAAAGACACTGTGGTTAGGGAGTGTGTTGACCAGGAGGTCCCCAAAGATACACCAATAAATAACACATTGTCTTGTCTCATCCTATAATACAATCTTTGTAGAAATTAAAAATAACTGCTAGTACAAGGAACTTATGAGGAGTAAGAAACCATCTAAATGTTAAGCTAAAACAATTGGGAATTATGGGTATAGAACAGAATGTAAATATGTACCGCTAACAAAAGGAAACAGATTAGGGAAAGGGGGAATTGGTGTAAATGTGCTAATTTATATCCATTTCTTTTGGAAACAGTAAAAATGTTATTTAAAGCTAGTTAAAAAAAGGCATAGATATATCACTTGACAAAGTTAGAAAGAACTAACCATACAAAATTGGGTAACGGAAGAGATGAGGGTGAGAAGTCAGTGCTCACAGTGGGAAGTTGGCAGCTACTTGTAACCACAGACACTAGAAGAATTAAAAGCCATAAATTCTCCAAATGATCTGGAGGAAACATGCAAATGTAAGCAAATATACTGAATCTCCAAGAGATACTATTAAGTGAGAAAAAAAAAGAACAATTATGCACACATGCAAACCCTCTCAACAATAAGAGGACACACCCAGGACTCAAACTGGAAAAGTCCTCTAAGGAAGAGAGGTGGGAGGCAGGAGACAGTGGCAAGAAGATGACTTAGCTTTTTTCATTGTAGTTCATTACTTTTATATTGTTTGTGTTTTCGTGTTTTTTTATCCTCACCCGAGGACATTTTTCCATCTTTTGTTCGGATAGAGTGGGAGGGAGAGAGAGGAAGAGACAGACAGAGAAACATCGACACGAAAGGGACACATGGAGTGGCTGCCACCTGCACGACCAACCAGGGCTGGGGACAAACTGCAACCGAGGTACGTGCCCTTAGCGGGAACCGAACCCCGGTCTCTCTGGACCGCAGGCCGACGCTCTAACTGCTGAGCCAAACCGGCCAGGGCTGTTTCTGTATTTTTTACCTGTATTACAAAAACTAGCACAGCAGAACTTACATGCAGACATGTATAACCAATGTACGCAGTCAACAGTGTGAAGGTGGGGGGTAGGAATGGGGAGGAAGGGGTCACTGAGGAAAAGGGGGGGACATCTGTAATAATTTCAACAATCATAAAAAAACTATTACAGTTTTTATTATGGTTTTTGATATGGAAGTTAATGTAAAAACTTCCTTCTTGGAGTCAGATGTATGTTAACATAAATGTAAATGCTGAAGGACTCAAGAGGTGCCGACCACCTGGCCAACAGGATGCTGGAGGGGAAAGTTACAGCATGGAGGTGTGGTCCGCCTCAGAGCAGTAAATTCCCTGAAAGGAGAGCAGGTTTTAATATTAAGTTTGTATCCTGCTACTTGACTGAGTTTGCTTATCAGCTCTCATAGTTTTGGTGGAATCTTAAGGAGTCTATATAGTATGTTATCTGCAAATAACAGTTTTGCTTTTTCCTTTCCAATGTGGATGTCTGTTTCTTTCCTGTCTGGCTGCTGTGGCTAGGACTTCTGGGAAAGCAGGTCTGGGCTCAGTATTTTAGGAAGAAAGGTCAGGCCAACTGAAAAACTCCAACTCCTTACCTTTGTGTCCCTGTATTCTCTCACTGATTTTTCCTCCGAGGAGGTCCCACACAAGCAGTTCACCAGACTGACTTCCAGATAAAACAGTATTTCCATCCCAGATAAAGCACCTGCAAGAATAATTTAGAAATAATCATTATTTATCATAAAGGAAGGGCTATATTATACTGGCCAAAGCAAGCCCAAAGGCGCAGTCATGAACTTGTGTGTAAATGTCTTCACCACTAGTAACCACAAAAAATATACCTCTGGGGCTCATCTGAAGTCATGGAGGAGATAAGCATTCCTGTCTGCACGTCTATGACGTTTACATGGCCATCTTCTCCTGTGCTGAGGACATGGCGACTGTCTGTAACATGAGGTGACACATACAGGTTACAGCTTCAGGGTAACTCAGTTTATTTCTGAGTCCAGTGGCCTAATGTTCCTTTTCCTTGAACTAGTTGTTTTATTTAACCAATGACTATCCTCTCTGAAAGGCTCAAACTCTTATGGGAAAAAAATGCTTCTGTTTCTACACTAGCCAGCGGTTCTCAACTTGTGGGTCACGACCCCTTTGGGCATCGAACGACCCTTTCACAGGGGTCGCCTAAGACATAACAGTAGCAAAATTACAGTTATAAATTAGCAACGGAAATAATTTTATGGTTGGGGGTCACAACATGAACTATATTAAAAGGTCGCGGCATTAGGAAGGTTGAGAACCACTGCGACTAGACTGATGACCCTTTGATGTGAGGAATAAAGAATAATATCCAATACAGTTTCCTACTAGGTACAAGTGGCAGAAGTAGACTGTATTCTGCCATGAAGCAGCTTTAGCTATAGGCAAAACCTGTCATCAGCAAAGTGGTTTTTTTTACATTCTTACTATTTATTTCAAAGTAATAGTTCTAAATCTCCCCGTACCATCTGTATTAAAAAGGATCTTACTATTTATTTCAAAGTAATAGTTCTAAATCTCCCCGTACCATCTGATTAAAAAGGATAACACCACCTGGGCTGAAAGCAGCGTCACACACAGGCCCTGAGTGGCACTGAATCTGGTGCAATGCGGTGGCCGTCGTGAGGTCCCAGATGTTCACCGCGCCTTCCTTGGTGCCTGAGACCAGCAGTGTGCTCGCAGCATTTAGACTGATGGTATCCACCTGAGGAAGAAAGCACGTAAGTATTCCATTTAGAATTATGGTCACAGCTGTTTCCCTAGGCCAGTTCATATATGGCCTTTATTATGTCAAGATATGATCCATTTATTCCCACTGGTGAGCGTTTCTATCAGAAACAGGTGCTGGATGTTGTCGAATGCTTTTTTAGCATCAATTGATAAGATCATATGGTTCTTATCTTTCATTCTGTTTATGTGGTGTATCACATTTATTGACTTGCGGATACTGTACGATACTTGCACCCCTGGGATGAATCCCACTTGGTCATGGTGAATAATTTTTTTGATGTATCGCTGGATCTGATTTGCTAATATTTTGTTAAGGATTTTGGCATCTATGTTCATCAGGGGTATTGGCCTGTAGTTTTCTTTCTTTGTAGTGTATCCCGTTTTGGAATTGGGATTATGCTGGCCTCATAAAACAAGTTTGGAAGTCTTCCATCTTCTTGGAGTTTTTGGAATAGTTTGAGAAGGGTGTTAGAACTTCTTTGAATGTTCAGTAAACTCCCTGTGAAGCCGTCTGGGCCTGGGCCTTTGTTTTCTGGGAGTTTCTTGATTATATCTACAATTTCCTTAGTTGTTATTGGTCTGTTCAAGTTTCCTCTCTCTTCCCGGTTCAGTTTTGGGAGACTGTTTCTAGAAATTTGTCCATTTTGCCTAGATTGTCCAATTTGTTGGCGTATAATTGTTCATAGTATGTTTTAATGATCCTTTGTATTTCTGTGATGTCAGTTGTTACTTCTCCTCTTTCGTTTCTGATTTTGTTTATTTGTGTCTTCTCTTTTTGTTTCTTGGTGAGTCTGGCTAAGGGTTTATCTTTTCAAACAACCAGGTTTTTGTTTCATTGATCTTTTGAATTTTTTTTTTTTAGTTTCTA